AATAGGAAAATGCAAAAAAAAAAAAGGAAGTGAAGCGTCAAAAACCTGCGCAGAAAAGCCTTCGTTCTCCATGGCTCAAACAGTACTTTCGGACGAGTTTTCCGCAGGCATCATGCCGATAACCGCTACGGTAGATACGACAGCACATAGGTACTCATATATCCATGCAGCACCGCGGCCGCTTCATGTCAATCCCTTCGCTTCATATTTTACTTCGCAAATGAAGCAATACGAGCATCAGGTACGGTCGTCCATTTGTGGGCGGGCGAGCGCGGGGGCATCCTGGTCGGTATGTTGCAGCTTCACAGGGCCCTAGCGGTAGGTTCCCAGGAAAAGGCGCTACACAGCGCCTACTCACCCAGAGGCGCGGGATTCTGTCATGTCACGTATATTAGTCCTACTTCTCTGAGGGATTTATCGGGCCAAGTGCCTCTAAGTCCGACGGGCCATGAGAGTGCAGCCCACTTGAAACATTGAAAACATTCCTGCGGCTACCCAGTAGGTTCGGGTTCTCATCCGATCCTAGTGGTTACCCGAGACGCTCGGCGGCCCTGCGATGCTCCAGCTCCCTCGGGTGGTGCAGCTCTTTGAACTCAGTCGGCGGCCAGCACAGGTGATGACACGTTGACGGCTGGACGAAGAGCGGACTAGGGCGACCAGTCGGGATATCAGCACGACGTAGACTGACTGGCGGCTTAAGTCAGCGCTGCCTCTGCGTTCCTAGCAGCATCTCAACTGTTATCTCCACTAAGCGCGCCAGGACTACCGCGACGCGACCCCTTGAATGAGTCGTATAGAAGTCACGACAAGGGGCAAAGATAGTTGGGATGTACTCACCAGCTCAATCATGTCACGTCATGTCCGTTTCTCTACGACTTCTCACCCGGATTCTTTCCGAAAAAGTTTAGTTGTGGATCTCGGTATATTTCAAGCTTGAGGTCCACTCTAATAAGAAAATGGCCGACGTACCCGTTTTAGGGTTTTGGAAATCTTCTGAGAAAGTTATCGTGCCACTGCCCTTAGCAGGCAACTAATTAGAGATTTTTCCACGATCAAGTGATCAGCAATATGCCTCCGTGCATTTGGCGTCGTTGTCCGCACACTATACTCTCGTCACTCGAAATGGCGAGATAACGGAGCAGAAGCGCGTGAGTATTGCACCCGGTGCAACCGCGTACTGTAACTTTGCGAGACAAGGGCTCACGAGCGAAATCGCGTGGTACATAGCGTTGCCGAGAGCGCCGTAGGCGATTTACTATGCTTTTGCCCCAATGGTTGCATGACGGATGCTGTTGATTGCGCTTGTTCTCGTAGAGAAGGGAGCAAGCGCATTTAACAGGATTCGTCCTCGTTGGGAAGGAGCACATGCGGATAAGCACACGCGCTCCTTCTAGGCATTTTCATTAAGATGAAAATGAAATTGCAAATGCCTCGTAGTGGAGCGACGCAACAGAAAGCCGTTGAGCAAGATTGGAAAAGTATTCTGAACAGATAAGAATATCTTTCGTATCGCGTCCAACGGCTTTCTCTCTTGTATTACTTTGCTTTTGTATCAGTTTGCACAGCTGTGAACAAATGATTCACTCTTTATTTTCCTTGCAGCTTGTTCAGTTGTCAGCCTGGGACACGAGTTCTCGTTATTCTTGATTGTTTGATTTTGTAGTGATGGTTTGTGTTAAGTAACGTAATGGCAATGTATCTCTCCTCACCTTAATCAGTGATGATCACGAGCTTTCGGCAGCAGTCTTCTTCCACGTTCGACAAAGTTTTATTTTGGGGACTTGTCAGGAATTCCCCCAGAAAAAACCCCCCAAGAGCAGCAGGACCGACCCGCCCGGCGCCCCCCACCCGCAAGACGCGCCCACACCTATTCTGTAATAGGAGGTCGTCCGTCGGGCACGCCGACGCTTTCCGCGTTGTCGTCAGAATTGTTCCCAGGGCTTTTTCCGCTTTTTTTCTCTAATGGGGTGTTACATGTGGGCTACTTGTTCATGATTGACCACAAAATACCCATGCGTCAAGTGCGCCTGCGTTTTTCACTTGCCACGCGCCATAAGGCCATTTTGTGAACTAGGTAATCATTCGAATATCTTTACAATTCTATAAAAAAATGTTGACACGTGTCAGAGAGATCTACGCCGATCATTTTATCCTACAAGTTTCCACAAAGAGTCGTCCTTACTTTTAATGAAAGCTGTTGCGAAATCGTTAACAGTTTTTTATGTAAACTGTACTAATGGTTATTATAAATAGATGCGCATAAGCAATAAATAATATGAACATTTCAGTGCCTAAACATGCTCCAACTGATGTAGAAGTCTTTCAAGAAGGAGACAATGTCCTTGTTGATTTTGAGCCTCTGCCACTGAGCAAGATTCCAGGGCAGGACGCCGGCTGTGAAGTAAGTTACAATTAAGTTTTGTTGAACTGAGAATATAGTCCCTGCAGTCTATGCATACGTATTTATAGGTCCGCGTTTGTGAGAATCCTGACGTTATTACATCTTGTGACGTTCGAAGCGTACCTCCACGTACACCCACTGCTGAATTTCGAAGTCTCCAACCACACTGTACAACTTAACATGCTTTTTTCTGCCTCATATCTACTTTTGAATTTCTCCATTTTAGCAACATATTACGTGGCTGTTGCGTGTAAGACAAGAGCAGGCATGGGCCCTCAAAGTCCGTGGCTAACGTTCACCACTGGGAAATTGGAGACTAAAAAACCTAGAAAGACCACAACAACAGTAACAACAACTACTACTGCTCCTGAACCGGTAAATGTTTCACAAAAGCTTTGCAGATCAAATTTCCAGAACCATATCGTGTAGGCGAAACCACTTGGGGTGACGTGTCCTTCTCGATGACAGGCCCTCTTTCTGGAGTGGCAAAGAGTGGAAGCGCTTCGCCAGCGTTCATACTCGCGACGACGTGCGACGACGCACTGTAATGCGTGGCAACGCGCGTCCACGCGCCACAATAGCATTCCAAAGCCATAGACGCGAGCGCAGTCGCACTCGTCCGGCGCCGGTCGATTCCAGGCTGCGAACACTCGATCTGTGCGTGGCTGGGGGTTGTGCTTCGAATGGTTACGGGGTAATAAGGTGGTAGGTGTTGCCTAGTCACGCTCGTTACAGCGCGTTAACGCGCGTCATCACGAAGTCAGGACGCAGCCTTCACTGAAGAAAGCGATGTGGACCAAATGACATCGTCCATAACATCTATTCGAAAGCAGTGGTCGCACAAGATGCACTGTGACTGAAATGGCGGGGTTCTTGTGACCGTATACCAACCGACTTGATAAGATGTTTTGGTGAAAGTGTTTTTATAGGTGAGAGACCACATATGTTCCGTCTAGGAGATTTTAGTGTACTCAGAATTTCTGGTTACTTGAGATACAGTAGTCGACCAGTATATGCAGTATTCGATACAATAGCCGACCACTATATGTGCTATCAAGCAAAGGGCCTAATAGTTATGGCATTCTTCTAATCCTGAAGAATGCAAGATGTTTATACACGGAATGCGCTGGCATTACGTCGTTCTCGTATCGAGTAACGGAGCTGTATGCAGAGGCCACGCGCATCACGCGTTTGTGATAATTTCTTCTAAAAACCCGACTCGCTATGCGAAAAGGGTCTGCAGTGTGGGCACACACAGAACTAAGACCCTACCCACTGCTTGCCGCCTAGTAATCTGGTAAGCACATTACGCGTGTGGTAAAGCAAAATTTGTTTATCGCTAAGCAGATAAGCACTTGATTGGCTTGGCAGATTCTGCCCCATGACGGTAGCCAGCAGCCAATTGTTTATTGCGCACCTGTCGCTTGTTGGAAAAAATTTTCGCCCCGTTGTGAGGTTATTGGCCATTTACGAGTTGCTACGCTTTGGAACGCTTATAACATTCTTCATACAAGTCCATTTGTGAAAAACAGTGCCGAAATGTGGAAGGTTTTTGCTTTTCAGAAAGATTTTCATTTTTTCATTAGGCCTGTTCTTCGAGAAAATTCCCCGTTGTGATGTCACTACAACACTTCTCGAACGAACCCACCCATCGAGGCAGTGACTTTTCCAGTGGGTTCGAAGGCTTTGGTATGCTTCTGGAACACAGATTTTCACCAGAGGTATCAGAAATAGTTCATTCGTGGCATTGGCATCATCTCTGTAGTCCATGAAACAGGCGGCTCGGCACGTAGAGAATGTTGTAACTTCTAATAGAGCTCACGTCGTGCAACGCGATGGCGATTAGTTACGTTGTTGTCGGCGCAATCGTACTTCCCGTTCATCCGCCTATTCCCACTTTTGAGGCTTGCGCAGGTCACTTCCGTCTTCAGATGTGTTTTCAGGTGATCTGCACATGAAGAACAGTAAATAAGTATGCCATCATTCATGCTGTACGACATTGAGTAACGCTGTTTACGGCTCACTTCAAAATGGGCGCTTGCGCTGCATGTCGCCTCCCGCCCACACTTGCCGCCTGCGCTGCGTATTCTCAATGTGCAGCAAATGTCGTCGACCCCAGGCTTGGCACATCTTGTCCACTACGGCACGTCTCGTCACATTGGAACACTAGGACGATTGGCAGTCAAAGACAAACTGTACTTCATGCCTCTAAGAGTGGTTTCCTGTGGCCCATGTGCGAGGCGCGACGGGTTAGCGGCTACTAGCGTGTCATCTCCGGCTCAAAAATGAAAATGCAACGGAAAGACCCTGCGAAGATAGTGGTGCCCGAATGCGGTCTCCATACTCCGTAGTGTACTCAATGCACAACACTTGCTTCGATATTGAGATCCCGCAGCGAAGCAGGCGTTTCGGCGGGTAGAGTACAACCAGAAGTGAGAGAGATGCAGAACAAATGACGCCTTGTGGCTATGGTTAGCGTTTTCTTGCCCAGCCGGGCCGAGTACTATGAAAACGATTTTTGAACTGTCAGGAGCTTTTGCGCTACTGGAATTTTTTGGAGGGCAAGTTTTTTCAGTCTTCACACTTGTAGTCGAACATTCGCGCCAAATTTTCGGTCTTAACTTTGGTGGTTTTTTTTTTCATTTATGTGATAGTTGAAATTATTTTGTCTAGTTCTTCAGTGACGTTCCCCCTGCTCATTCAGTTTTTTTTTGTAGAGAAATTGGGAAAGGGTAGATAGTTGGGGGAAAAGCTGAGAACGTGTTAGGCAGAATGGGGGAAATGGGAGAGGGGGGGGGACGTAAACAGCGCAAGAAATGTGGAGGTTGAGTCGTCTGACTCTACCTCCACTATTTCTTGCCACTATTTCTTGCTATATTTTCCCCATCCCGATACTGCACCCTTGCAGTAAAACAAGGTGAAACAAGGCGTGACTAAACAGGAAGAAAAAATGATGTGGTGCATATGCTGCGCACCTCCGAAGTGTCTTTGTTCCCTATCATCTTATCTTTGTATCTTTGACGCAAAAGGGATCGAAAAGCTATTATAAGGGAGAAATACATTGTAAAGATCTCTGATACCATCAAAAATGCGACTCTCGACAGCTCTGCCGATTTACTATTCTGAACTACAGGTATCCGGAGTGGATGTTTCGATTGAGGTCTTGAAAGGAATGAAAGTAATACTTTTGGTGGAGTTCAAAATGAAGGATGGCAGTCAATTCCGTGATGAATCAGTGAGATCTTTGGAAATTCTGGAATACCGGAAGGTTAGATAATTCGAAGCGGCTCGTTCAATTGACAAACAGGATATGCCATAGCGTGACAAGAAACGTCAAGAAACACGGTGCTGCCTCAGTACCCCCCTTTGGGCGACAGGGGCGACAGGTCTAAACGTCTATTCTCGAGTTGACAGGTTCTAGCATGACCTTGCTCCAGCTTCACAAGAGTTCACAGGTTTCGCCAGAGTGAGACTTGTAAATCGGAACGAGGGACGCAATGATAGTACAAAATGCCCCCCATCGCCAAACAGCGCCCCACACCCTTTTCTTCATTACTATCTCCGGACCTTATGCTCTCAGTTTTTTTTCCGAATATATTCTGACAAGGGAACCCCAACAGGTCGATCCGGCCATTTGCAATGAGATGTATATATATGGACGTGTCTTGAGCCGCTGAATCCAAATCTGCCCTCGAATTTGCGGAACGATTCTCTGAAGGGAGTTACGGACCATTTATTCTCTGCGCTGTTCGCACAAGTTCGGAAGTATAACCACCCGTGCCGAGCGGTCGGTGGTGTAGTGGATAAGCGCATTGTTTCAGAGGAGCGAGGTCACATGTTGGAATCCTTGACCCGTGCAATTTTTGTTTTGTTTTAAACAATTCATATGAGCCCCGAAAACACTTCTGTTTAGCTAATTTACCTAATTCTTTAATTATCGATATTAGGAGGAAGCGAAGTCTTCATTCCTGTTCCATTTGATAATTTTCGTTATTAGGACATGTTGCCAGAAGTTGCGTAAAGAAATAAAGTTCTTATCGTTCAGGAGCACATGTGGTATTCTTCCACGAATTAATGGAAACAAATTCCCACAATGAGCACTGCGAGTAGAGAAGTACTAAACACGCGGTAAAGCTGCAGTTCCTCACCGATCCAGAGGGAAAACAATACTAAAGAGGTGTATCAAATGCACCAGGGTGTCCTCCGAAATATCCAGCCGAATACCAAGGACAGGACAGGAAGCTTTTAAATCTAGGTGAGCGGAACTGAAGATAGACTAGAGACAGAACACGATGAATAGAGTCTCGTGATGTATTGAAAAATTGTATCAGTAGTTAGGCCTCTGGGAGCACTTGTTTATTTGCTGTGCTCATTGTGAGGACTTGTTTTTGTTTTTGTCATTTCGTGGGAGGTACCACTGTGCACTTGAACCATGAGAACTTTATTTCTTTGTGCGAGCTCTAAGGGCCAGATATAGCCATAACAACTTCTTAAAATAAAACAGTAATGGGAGTTTTGCCCTACCTCTGTCGAATAGTCGACGAATTAGGTAAATTAACTGAACAGAAGTGTTTTAGGAGCTCATATGAATTGTTTCAAACAAAAGCAAAAGTTCACAAAAGTCACGTGTTCCAACGACCTCGTTCCTCTGAAACAATGCGCTTATCCATTACACCACGGGTTGCTCGGCACGGTCGGTTATACATCCGAACTTGTGTGAACAGTGCAGAGAATAAGTGGTCCGTAAGTCTCTCCAGAGAATCGTTCCGCAAATTTCGAGGGCAGATTTGCACTCAGCGGCCCAAGACACGCCCATCTACACTGCTCCACATAATGATAGTTCCACCCATAAATATTACAAAATCCCGTCTCACATGAGGTTTTCAAAAATGTGCTCACATAGAAAATGAGGTAATAATCAATACCACTTTGCATGTCAACACCGGAAACTAACTTGAAAGAACAAGTTTTTTTTGTTCATTTTTTTTAAAAACTGGTACTCTGACAATTCCACAAAATGATAGTTCCACCAAACAAATCGATCATCCGACAACAAGTGCACAACAAAATGAATAAATTGTGGATTCATTAATCTACTGGAAGTCCATTTCTTCGAATAAGCTGGAAAATGCGGTTGTCTGTGCTCGAATAGAGGTTTTAAATGCGTTTTCACTCTACATGCTGCCATGCATCAACGATTTACTTCTTAAGCTCACAGACACCGTGGAATCGCGCATTGTTCGCATAGATCTTGCGACCTGAGCTCATCGCTGGGTTAACCTACTACGCGCGAAAGGCGTTTGGTGAGCGAGAGGAAATCACGCCTCAGCGCAAAAACTAACCTTACTCCAATTGGTTCGGCAACATCTTCCAGCAAACCCAGCTAGGTTTTCGCGATAGTTTTTTGTTAAAAAAAGTGCTTGGCTCAT